TCGAATTCTACTTTGTAATTTGCGACAAAATATACTCACATTGTTCTTAGAAAGCATTTCTCTTTCTGAAATATTTGTTTTGTATATTTATACGATACCATATGCGAGAGAAATATTTTCCGCAAAACTGTCGTATAAGTAAGATAAAATGATGTATATTTTATGATTAAAGAGACTATCGAAGCTGTCTGTTGAAACCTCGTGTATTGCATATTTATTATTTAATGTAACGCGTGTAAACCTTTTTCGAATCCAGTATCTTCGCTTCAACCTATCATTTCATAAATATATAAATTTATAGATCCTCGGTTTTACAAACCGTTTGTTTCTTAAACATTTAGATTTATAGAGGTCTTATTTCTCGAATTCCATCCATAGCATTTTAGATCTTTGACCTCTTTTTTTCTCTCTCTCGTTTAAACACTCGAGCTCAAATATCTCTCTTTTATACAATTTTGTAAGTAAATTTAGTTCTGTTAATAAAATGTTTATTTAACAGTAAATTCGAATTGTCCACAACTTGTTGCAGCATAATTCTGTGTCACTTCGTAACATCAAAAAGTGTTTAGAGAAGATAGTATTATGGTTTTTAAGCTATAATATAATTATACCGTCTTAATATTTTCGCTATTAGATAGCAAATTTTAATAATTGTTTACGGAATCATTTGTTCACAACGCCTTTATGGCGCTAATAATATGCTAACACACAATAACCAGCATTTATTGTAACGCATTTTTACTTTTAAGCATTTCGAAACATTTTAGAAGTATATTTTGAAATTTAATTATACATATATACTTATTCTTAAACTTAAGCGTATGTTCTAAATAATAAATACTAATCATATAACGTTGAGTCTAGAATCAATTTCGATTGAATAACGCTGACAAATATAAGCGTTGAGTTTTAAATTTAAATATTATTATTAACAAAATTATTATATAAAATATATAAATGGGGCACATCACTTTTATAACACTTTCTGCTCTTTAAGTAGTATAAAAATAACACGAAGAGTATAAAAATAATGTGAAAATCTCAGAGAGCATGAGCGTAAGCATCTTATTTAGATTCTTTCCTTTTTCCACCGTGACAAAACAAGGAAACACTTTCAGAAATCCCGACGAAAGTCAAAGAGAAGAAAGGTGCTCAGGTCAGAAAGAGTTATTTTCGTCGAACAATACTCTCGGCAAATAGCACTTGCGGCGACAATTTGCAGGCAATAATTGTGAAAGATGTTTATTTTGGACGAGAGAATTAGGGGAATGAAAGAGAATGGAAAAGGTCGACACTCACAAAATCTCGACAAGACGTAGCGGAAATCACGTCTGATATACTTTCTCGGCTATGTGTCGTGACGCAAGACGCACTTTTCTGTGTGTTATAAATTACGCGCGAGATGCCGGGACAGAAGGACGCGAGTCCTGTTCTGGTGTTGCTAAGAGACGGCACGGCGAGAGCACGGCAGAACTTTTCGCGAGATCGTCATCCACGAAGCGGAGTCAGCGGAGATGGGCGCGTTATACATATTTATGCAAAGCAAAGGATATCGGAGGGTGAATTTTAAGTTAGATATAAACGGACGAGAAAGTTTCTCGTCGCGCGACACCTTCCTCTCAACCTCGTCGGAGGAAGTTATGCGCTTCCTCGCAGCGAACGTAATTCGCTGGTAAACTCTGCGACAAATATGGATAAAACGAGAGATTAATGATCGCGATGAACGAAGGAGTTGAACCATTATCGAGCAAGAAATATAAATTGCTTAAGAATCCTCTGTTAAAATATTCATAATTCTTGTAAGTTAGCGTTTTATTGTGGCCTTTTTTTTTTATTATAAAAAGTGACTATGACACCTTTTTCCTAAAGACAAAATATAGATTGCGGATAGCTTTAATGACTAGCTGGCTGCATAGCAGACCACTAATGGACTATTATTCGACACTTTTTTTCAGGCAAAACGTAAAAGCCTACAAATGGCTCTAATTTACTTTGATGCATTTTGGCTTCACTTGTAATATTCATTAAATTTTAAAAAATCAAGAGTGAAACATTCTATATCAGTATGATAAATATTTAATTTAGCTTGTAATAGATAATAGATAGACGAGAGACGCTACAAAAACACTGTTATATAAAACCGCATACGCATATAAACGTGATACTAGAGAATTTCCATTTGTAAAGTACTCTCTATAAAATGTCTGAATATACAACGAAGATTTCAAGGGAAACAAAAGAAAAGGACTAGTGAGGTACGAAGGATTTTTGATGGAAAGCTGAATTTTATGAAGTACCGCGCTTTCTAGTGTACCCACATTGGTAATCGATGGAACGGAAAATGGTTTCATTTTACGAAGGCCAATGCTTCTTTAATAATCTGACCGGCCATTCCCTTTTACACCAGAACTTTCTACGCAGAAGGAAACCAAAAAAAAAAAAAGAAGAGTTCAATAACGATTGGAAATCACGATTTACACACAACATATAATAACATATCAATGTAACTGGGATAGCTTTGTTAACGAAATGATGAAGAAAGAGAACAAACAAACGAATCGATCGATTGCACCTCTCGTGAATGATTTCGCAGCAAGAAACGAGTTTTCGATGGAAACACGCGGCGAACAGTGTAGACAGCAAGGGAAGTAATTAACGCAAACATAGCAAATGCAAAGAAAAAGAGCGCTTGTTTCGCGTTTTTACAAGAGCACGTCCTTAATTGGGCGCCCGAGAAACATGGGAGCGACAATGACGATTCAGGATCCAAATATTACGGACAATCAACGAATTTAATTGCCACACGGCGCAATTACTTGCAGCACATAAATATTAATGCAGCGTTCATTATTGTAGAGAAGCTGTGTGCCCAATTTCCTCCACTACGAATTTATAACAAACTCTCAAAATAAATACCTTCAAAATTTAAGGAAGAAAATTTATCGAGAGACTCATCCAAAGGCAACGCGAAAGCACTCTGTTGTCGCACGATATCACAAGCACTTCATAATTTAAGCAAAATCTTAAAATACTTTTCGTGTAATAGCTTTATAATTTTAATACGGTTTCTATGTAATTTATTAAAATTGCATTATCGCCCGTTATAAGCCGGAAAAATGCTTTTATCGCAAAGCGATTGCATTTCGCGAAAGATTGAACGACTTAGTCGGATTAAACTGAGTTGGTGCGCAAAGTAGTGCACATCGTCGATCAAATTTTGACATTCGCGATCCACTGGGATAAGTAGATCGCGTCGAAGAGTAGCTTTTAATGCGACCTACGTATGTACTACCTCCATGTGCGAGACTCCGCAGCGCGGCACCTGAAAGCTCAAAGCCTTAAATCCAACGTTGCCAGTGGCAACGTGCTTGGTCGATCGGTCAAAAGCCTTCTCTTGTCCATTATTTTTCGATTTTGTGTGTTCCCCGATTCAAAAGCCTCCGCGACGGATATGAATTCAGACTGGTGTGCGGCTGACATTATGCGCCCCGGGGCAGAGAATTTTCGACGGCATTCATACATCTCCGCTTTCAGCGTTCTCTGCGAGATGCATGTGTAACGCGTTCGAGGCAAACATGCACTTTAAAACCTCAAGTGTATCAAATCTGATACGTTTTCGCGATACCTGCGTTACGGGGGTGCTTTCTTAATATTAAGTTTAACTAAACTCTCAAGTATATCTGCATGAATTCGCGCAAGCTTATTTCAGAATTCCAATAACTATTATATTCTTCTCATCTTCTTTTAATTTCCATTTTAACAAATTGCATCGAGCATAAATCGATTCGAATTATTCGCCCGCGGGACCAATTAAGGGTAGCGCGGCTGATATTTGCAATGCAAGTATATATAAGCCAGATTGTGTTACGGCGATAAAGTGATACGATAGAGAATGGTGCCAGCTCTGGAACAGCGAACAATTTATATCCCGTTACGCAACGGCTTTTATGGTGCAAAAACCGCCACTATCTCCGTCAATGTACGTTCCTTACGTAAAAGCTTTCACTATCGCCAGTTTCATCCAAACAATATCGTCCGATTCTTGGAGTAACATTACGTATATGATAGTCATAAAACCTTTTCTGCTATTTCTCCGGAGATTTGAACAATACGTATCGGCGGTTGAGAAAAATTCATACAGTGTTTAATCGTAAACACATAGACGGGCATAAATATAAAATATAAACGTTAATTTATATTACCAGAGTAACATGAAAAATTTATTTGTTTTATTGGCGTTTCGTTTCTTTAAATAATTAATATAATAGATACGCGTAAACAGATATAATATTATAATATAAATGCCAGCACGGGGTCAGTTATAAAACTCAACAAGCATAAATTAAAATTAAATCTTAATAAGAATAAAGCAGCTACTTTTTAGTACAAGTAAATTTTAATAATGCTTAAAACATTGTCCTTTTTTATAATTTCGTTAAACATAAAATTTACGATTTTATTACTGAAATATTTTTTCTTATTCTAAAATATGATTAAAATCATTTCTGATAAATTTGTAAGTGTTTCCACCAATGGTTATGCATTACTAATTATTATTAAATATAAAATTAGTATTTGAACAATATCAAATTAACAAAAAAGTTTTATCGAATATTTTAAAGTATTAAATAACCTCAATCAATTACTAAATTGACTGCAATATATTGTGAAAACATATTAAATTGTTAACGACTTTTGTTTTATTTACTTTATTTTGCTTTTTCTCTCTTTACGAATTTATGTGTAAATAAACTGCACATTTTATTTAGATAATATTTGGATGAACAAAAGTGAAAACTCATGACGAAATAAAATTTTTACATAATAAAAGTTTATTAAATTTTTGCATGGCGAATTGCCATATCAATATATAATTCGTAATGTAGCAACGATAGATTTCAATACATTTTTCAATGCATTAAAGTTGAATTGATTAAAAAATATATTATGAAAAGATTTAATTGATGTTTATATTCACCAAATGACGTGATATAATTTCTTCTCAGAAAATATTTTTTTATCCTAACTTGTATTTTTTAGATGGATCGTAATTCTCTATGGTTACGGGTGGTTTGTACTTTATCTCTTCACTTTGAATCTTTGAAAAGCGACAAGACTCCCGGAATTCTTTTTCAAAAATCATTAATCGTCTGAAAGTATCCAAATATTCAAAAATTTTTACATCGTTTGGATAAAAACACATAATATCGAGACGTTACATTATACGTACTTAAAATAATTCTTTGCAGTCAGATGTCTCAAGTCAATTTGGCTTATTAAATGCTCCGAATATATCGTAGCGAGATCGTTAATGTTATAATGTAAGTCGGCTTCGTCCTTTGTCAGAAGAATACAATTCCAAGGCGCCCATTCGATATCCTTTTGATATCTGACCATTCTTAGAATAAAAAGATCTTTAGTCTTACTAAGGGCCGATTGACCTTGCCAAATATGGTTAATTAAGTGATAAATATCCTGCTCTTGCATTATAAATGCTAAAGCAGAAGTACTGCCTCGATGTTTTTCTTCAGCACGCACGCAATTTAATATAAACCTGTAAGGATCGTAATCCACATGCGCAATATTACGTCGACTTAGGGAAATGCAGCCTTTAAAAAACATATTCAACTAAGTAATTTTAAAAGTTTTATACATAAGATATTATAATTAAAAAATAAAAATATTATCAATATATGTATATCGAATAAAGAATTTTATTTATATGTATATAATATACATTATAATCATCACTCACTGCTGCAAATTGTTAGCTTTTTCATTCTAGTATGTGCTAAAAATCTACGAATGGGAAGAAGCTTTAAACAATTCCGACAAAATTTGGTTTCTGTTTCTAAAGGCTCTCGCAATTCGTTATCTTTAGATTCAGTAGTAATACATTCACAACCGCAAATACCATACATTCTTACAAAATTCAAATAAGTATCTGTGTGTGTAAAAGAATATACATATTTATAATATTATTACTAAAAGTAAGCATAGTTGTTAACGCTATAAAATAATAGTAAGTATAGATTGCAAAATAAAATAAAAAATAGGAAACTCCAAATAACTAAAACTTTATTTTTTCTTCTCTCTAATTAAACTTTGTGCCAAAATTTATGGGGATATAAAAGTACTATTCCTTCTTTCAGCTTTTAAGTTTTAAGTTATGTTTAACATTGATAAAATTTAGAAATATGTCACTATTATCACATTGACATTATTTATATAATAATAATATTAAAATTATTAACAATACATAAGCCATTATTATTGACATTAATATGTTGTTAATAATTAATAAGTCTATCAATTGTTATTAAAAATGATTTATTAATAGCATCAATTATCTTCTCAATTATCGCTGTTTCATTATTAATTATAATAATAATAATATTATCACATAATATTAACAATCTTACGTGTTATTCTTTCCTTTAAATAATCGAACGATAAACCTTCAATTTTACGATTTAACAACGTAATCTCTTGATCCAATAATGATAATAAATCCAATGCCTCGACACAATTGTGTGTTTCAACCCACTTCTTCAGAGATATCAATAATTTCATTCGTTCTTCTGAGCTAACGTCGCAATTGTTCAGTGCATCATAAATTTTTTTTAATTTTCGAGCATTTTGAATTTTTATAGTGATCATCTCTACGAGTTTGCCCTTGTAACCGCTCCATCGTATAGGCTTGCAATTCACTGTTAAAAATCTGACAGCCCTTTGTTTCTGGTACGATCTCTTGATTGCTTGTTTATGTTTATCGATTTGGTTGAGCATTTCTACCGTCTTTTCTACAATCCTGTAATTCTCAGCACGCTGACCTGCCTTGCACAGTCGCAATTTTATGTCCTTTAAACGATCAAATCTCCATCTTTCGACCAGACCATAAAGCATGTCAAAGTCCGCTCTCGATCGCGGATATATTTGACGAAGAATATTCTGTTTATATCGTAATCTGCAAAAAAGAATAATACGCGAGTTTATAGAAAAAATTACTCTCATCATGTTTTTAAAATTGCAAAGATTTTTCTTATGTCTTTCTATCCCTAACATTATGTAAAACGTACTTGAAACGGTATGTTAGATACAAATATGTATATTTTTCATCATGAAATAGATACTTTTTTAAGAAACAACATTTTTATTTAACCTTTTGATCGATGACTTCATTTAGAATCATCTTTTTTTAGTTTTTAAATAAACTATTTATTCAATTTTTGTAAAACTTGGCCTATAAGGTAATTTGATAATGTTTTATTCGAACATGAGATAAAAAAAAATTGAACTGATAGATTTAATACGGCAAATGAATTCTTAAAAATAATTTAATTATCATAAAACTCGATAAAGTTTTTAATTATAAAGTAACATCACGTTTCTAGTTTCATTTTATTTGAAGCTCATCAATACTACGTAAACAGTTATGTATAGTTACTGCACGAGGTTTTCAAATTGACTTTCAAACTCTGATTATAAACTCTGTTCCATCAAATATACCAAGTTACGACATGTAACGTACGTTATAATATAACACACGCGTATTACAGTTATATTGTTCAGTGAGAAATTACAACTAACGAGTTGATCGTTACATGTAATTTGTTGTTTGTTGGGGTGACACTAGAACCTTTTTATAGAAATTACTATATATTTGTGAAATTCGTTATTTTCAGGCTATATTCAAAATCGGAGATATTAAAAAAATCTCCTAAAACCGAGTTTCACGATAATCAAATTATTTATTAAAAATTTAGGTTAAAAAAAACCAAAATTGTGAATTCAATGATTCAAAAAACCTTTAGAAAGCAAGAGGTTTCATAAAATTACTTTGTTTGAAAGTTGCCGCATCCTCAAAAGGTTAATGTCAAATAAATTTTTGCTTTAAATTTTGATTTAAAGTTTTTATCACTATGAATCGAACAGAACAAAATATAAATTAACGTTTATCTAAAGTTTTAATAAATATTTCCTTTTTCACATTAAATAGTATCATGAATTACTTGTTTGCAATGGCTTTCTCTTCTTCATATTTCTTACATTTCTCAAGCATTTCGCGATAAGTATATGCACATTCTTTGATGTATTTCCTCCATTTATATGCTCGGTAATTTCTTTGAATTACACATGCGTGCCGATCTAAATTAAGCTGCATATCAACATAGCTCTCATAAAATTTTACAGTCATGTATTTATCCGCTTCATTAGGTACATAATAGTCATCTCTAAATTAATAACATAAAATATTCAGTTGACACCATTTACAATTGTTAAGTATATTATTATCTTATAAATATTATAATTTCTTCAGAAATTTAAAACCAGTTTTTTACTTAAAAATTAAATACATATATACTCAGAGAAAAAAACATGGCAACTATACAAATTTTATGTGTAGAATTAGTATATACAGTTAAAATAAACTTAGTAGAAATAAACTAGTTATTATTGCAACTATAAAATAATTTATTCAATTATATATACCTTAATTACATAATTTAAAAAAGATAAGTACAACTTTTACTTTTTTGCAACCGTTTGAAGGTCGTTTTATTTCTTATATATTACATTTTCCCTCATAGAAACCAAAAATTATCATAATAATGACACTCATTCAAAGAAAAATTGAAATCAAGAATAAAATCCTTATTGAAATTGTTACCAAATTGCTCAAATATATATGCTTCAATCATTTAAAAACTAATTCAGAGTTGATCCTCTAAATCAGTAGTGAAAAAAGTTGTATCCATCTTGTACAGTTGTACACCTATATTATATAGTTGTTACTATATTTTTCTCTCACAGTTAAATATATTTAGATATTCATTTCAAAATTTACTTATTTCTTATAGAATTATTATATAGTTTAATTGCAAATTAATATATGATAAAGCTAATATAAGAAATGCTAAATTAAAAAATATACAAATTAGGATATATATAATAATTATAGATTACGTAAAAATGAAATTTTATTCTCGTTAATGTAAAAATTCTTTATTTCAATCAATATTAAAATTTTTTATATTTTCTGAATTGCTCAGTAATCACTACAATAATTTGTAACTAATTACATATTATTACAAATGTAACAATATCCATGTAAGAGAAGATAATTTTATTATTATTATTTAATATAATATTTCCATAAATTATGTAATTAGATGCGATGTTATATGTGTTTTGAAGAGACTAGATGTCATATAAGTTTATTTAGTACCGCCACATTTGTGTCGCACGATGACGCAGTGATTGTGTTGCTCCGTCGTTCGTTTGTACACATTGTACCGCTCTGCAGCATGTATTCTTCCGTAGACCTCGCTTTGACAAAGGTCCGGTTTGAGAAGCCGCATTTACATATTTTACTCCGGTAATTTTATGTTGCCACCCACCCAAATAAGGCTTGAAAATCCTTTGTTTTTCAATTCTAACCGACAAGGTCATCTTCAAGAAATAGTGGTTACTAAAACTCGATTTTTCTTTTATTTATATCGATAATAAATTTATACAAACACACTTGACGTCATAATCGTTCCGAGTTTTTCTAGATAAATTTTTTTAGATTATACGATTTCGCATATATACTATTTATTTAATTTCAAGCATATTTTTCCTTTTATTAATATACATTAAGTTAATATACAAAAGGAATGCATTAATAACATTATATTAGTTATAAAAAAATAAATAATAAATAATTGTACATTCTCTTTCTATAGCTCTTTATTGGCTTAATTTTTTAAAAAGTTTACATGATATACCATTGAATTACAATATCAGCAAAAATAAAAAATAGATACAATTACTAGTGTTAAGGGTTAAGAGCGCAAACAGCAAGTTGATCTATGCTAATGTTTTTAGTTTTATACGTAAATGTCACGTTTCGACAATACATTTAGGTCATTATCAATGTTAATACTTAAAATATAATGCTAAAAAGAACGTTTCTAAAATCTACATTTTAAATTCTTTAATTTTAAATTACAATTGGATATAATATCCTAATCTAACGCCTATATAATTTACCTCTTGCATCGTAGATTATATACATTCTTTTAGCATTATATTTTAAGTATTAACATTGATAATGATCTAAACGTATGTGACATTTGTGTATAAAACTAAAAACATTAGCATAGATTAACTTGCTGTTTGCGCTTTTAACCTTTGACATTTTTGTAATTGTTTTTATACAATTGAGCGATAATTATATTGATTAAAAAATAGATATTTTCTATATCAATTTCTGAGCAAAACATAGTAGCACAAAAAATTTTCAGAAATTGGATTTGCGTCAATATTTATATTATAAAAATAAAATTCAAAGGTATTAAATATCATTAAAAGGATACAAGGAAACCATATCTATATTAGAGATCTTTAGCACTTTCTATATTGCAGAACGTATTTACATTCACATCAATTTGTAATTCTCAAGATTAATACATTTATTTATATTTATTATAGTTCTTTTAGTTAATATTCGATTTCATATAAAATAAAAACTTGTGTACAAATATTTCCTTCCAACAACAAGATTACACAAAACAGTATCAAATACATTTAAGCTTTACAATTATGTTCAAATAATGGAAGGAAATGTATGAAACAAAGAGATCATTAAAAAAGATTTAAAATGAAAAATATTAAATTAAAGATACTTTTCCATATTTTAGTAAAACTAAAATAAATAGTTCTTATATTGTAACAAAAATTGACAGATGTGTGATTTAAGTAATTTTAATCAGAGGAAAATGTCGATGACAAGAAAAGTCGAAAACCGGTGGTTCCTTCGAATCTTTTTTGTGTCCGTCAGCTAATAGCTTCAGCACTACAAAATTCGTCTTTGCTACTTTCAATAGGTTATTTATCTGCAAAACAGGAACAGTAATTTAATGGTAAAAATAATATCCTAAAACAGTTTATACAGATATAAACTAATGTTTTTATGAACTCACTTCATTTTCTATTAAACTATTTGATGGATAAAGCAACAATGCACGTTCCAACATATTTCTAGCCTGATGAAAATGTCGACAACCGGCAACATATTGCATTTCACTGGTAACTTTTTCCTACAAGAATAAAGCTAATATTACATTTGTCGTACGACAAATTTTTCAAGCGTGTTAATTGGCTGTAGAATAGCGAGGTTCTTAAATCGCTCCATCCTATATCCAATTATCACGCTTAAAATATTTGTCGTACGATAAATGTAATATTAGCCTAAAAGTTATAAATTACAATTTTAATTTAGCCAACATTAAAAACGTTTATAGTGCAATTTCTATTTGTTATGGTTTTATTATAATTTAAATGTAAAACTTAAGCATTAAACTTACATTTCTTTTATGCATTTGAGCATTTGTCATATCTAGAAATTCTTGATAGTGAACAGGTGGTGGCGTTAATAAAGACGAAAACGGCAATAATCTGTGCTCATACCTCACTCGCTCAGAATCAAACTGTATCTCTGGAAGCGGTATTTTTTCATCCATACGAAAACCGACTAGAGCCTGAAAATTTTTATAACTTATTATGCAAGAACTGTATATTCTTTATTTGCATATTATTTTTAAAAATATAATTTACTTTGTAATATCCGCCACATATATTTTGCAAAGCCTGGTACATTAATATCTCCAAATTGTATGGTCTTGGTGTCGATTTCTTCTTCTTATTCTTAGAGCTCTTTTTGCTTCTGCCCTTATGAGTATCATTATGTGAATCCTGTTCCATTAAGAACGTATCAGCTCGTGTAATTGCAGATACGAGCCAGCCATACAGAAATTCATATAAATACCAAAAGATATAATGGTATTCGTGAACCGAATATAACTCGAGTTCGAAACCACTTAACAAATACATGACCATAACACGCAGTGTATGATATAAAATCCAGGTACCAAAACAGGCCAAGTGAGGCCTCGGTGTATCACTTTTTAAAGACAGAGTGTGTAAATAACCATCAACTCTCTCCGCCTAAAACATGTATTTTTCAGCCTTAAACTTTTTATATTAAAACACATGTTTTAATAAAAATGAGTTAACGCTTTCTCTAATATTATAAAAAACTTTAGATAGAATTAAAAGATAAATACATGTAATAGATGTTTTTTTTTAAATAAAAATGTAGAAAGTAACTAAAATTCTACGAAAAATTCTTACTTCATCTTGTAATGTCGCAAAGTCTTCTAATAAATGCGCCAATTTATCTCTTTGTCTTGCCCTATTATGTCCACTAAGCTGCAACAGGTTTCCGAATAAGCTGACACAATGCGATAGAAAGCTATCGACATACTCCTTAGCCTGGTGATTCTGAAGCAATGTACTTTTTGACAGCAACGCGGGTGGCGCAATAAAATTTCGTGCCGCGTCTCTCAATACGTCGGCGAAATTGTGCACACCGAATACGCGATTAGTTGTAGGCAAGTAAACAATTTGTAACATAGATCTGGACAATATGCATGGACTATGACGCGAAAATTCCAAGAAAAAGTCCTAAAAAGAAATTTGTTTATTTTTATATATGAATCCACTAATAAAGAAATGTTAATACATCACTAATTACCAAGGCCGCGTGAAATCCGATGTGATTTGTAATTTTGGTAACCATTTTGAATCTATTTATCAATTCGACTAAATATTCTAAGGCATCTATTCTTGGCTTAATTTTGGTGTATCGAGGGAACGTCGGTGGCAGCAATCTTTGGTTTACCATCGGATCAAATCCCATAATATTTGGATGATTAGCTGTAAAATCATAAATAATCATTATTTCCTTACATAAATAATCATTATTTCCTTACATAAATAACATTACTTTTTATATAAGAAAACATTATGTAAATATCCATTTTTTAATAAAGAAAATAAATAATTTCAAATTAAAAAAAAAATTTATATAATGAAGAATATGCAATAGTATATCTATGTATACTTACAAACTTCATCAGCCTTTTCTCCGCGAACTACTGTTGAAATCATAATATTAAGCATATCGTAACAATTCGATAACAATCTCTGGCAATCATTTAAATTCTGTTGCAACTGCTGCTTCCGGCCCATCAATGTTAACACTTGATAGAACATTTTCGTAAATCGGATCCTCGCGTAAAGTGCTATTCCATCGTTATACTATAAATCAATATTAGTAACAAATGAGTTAAAATAAATATAACAAATTAATATTATATATAGAATAGGCATAAAAATATATTTTTTTTTAAATTATAGAATAAGATATGATTTTAAGATCTAAATTATGATCTAAACAACAGAAAAAAGAAAAGCTACAAAGAGATTTACCTCTTTCTCAGATTCAACATCAACGAGTTTTATTCGACTTTTTCGATGAAGTTCTTCTTCAACTTCCCGCAACATCGATATTGTTTTTTGTTCCGTAATATCTTGCTGTAATCTATAGCCATATGTAACGCTTTGAAAATCCTCCTCTTCGAATACCAAAGCTTTATTGATGCAATCCTTGATTATATCTATTATCTTATACACTGCGTAACAGAAGGTCTTCAAAGGTTTATCTAGTATTTGCTCAGGCTGATGCAAATACAAGTTCGTGAAAACGGTTTGCGCAAGACTGTGACCTTCCAACCAAGATACTATACACGCGTATGTGGAATCTATTATTCCTATAATTTCGGCAGATGTAAAGCTGTCCAATTTGATTGCGCCAGAATCGACAGCCTGGGTAAAAGTGCAAGGCTTGTTGTTCCCCCGATTGCACAACATACCAGCATCCATTTTTGGATCCATCATCTCGATAGCAGACATGGCTTCAAATAACCCAAACAGCTCATCATGTAACAGTTCTCCCAGTTCCAACTCTAAATACAGAATGCAGAAAAATATATCAGCATTCCAAAAATGCAAAACATTACTAGCCTTAATATTATTTGTAGAAATTAAAAAAGGTTTATAATAATTAAATCTTAAAAATCACTTATATAATAATTAAAGCACTTACTACGATGATGGACTAACCCACATTTTGTAAAAACAGAGAATAAATGTATTTTCCCATAACTTTAACTTTAAAAATCACTTTCTCCATTTTTATAAAATGTGGCTTAGTCTACTGTTGCAGTAAGAGCTCTTGAATTATTTTTTACAGTGTATATTCTATAATTTAATGATATACAAACTCTTTTTATGCTCTCAACCTCTCTCCTTAGGTAGAAATTTGACAAAAATCATTAATTTTTTCATGATTCATGTAAAGGATAATATAAGGATAATATAAGGATAATTAATTTCAAAAATTAGTTGTAATTTATATGGGTACGTATATATTTTATATTTTTTTCTATTTTAATACATGTAATTTTTATACATAATTATTCAATAATCCAAATTAAAAGCAAAAAGGTTTCACAATCTCTAATAACTTTTATGCAATCCCTCAAGGAGTCAAAACCCATAATTTATGCCATTGATTTAATATCGTGTAA